AGCTGATAGAATATGGAGTAGGAACTAGTTATGCATGATTGATAGACTTGTCGTCCAAAATGTCGAAATAAGCTCATCAACCAAACCAGACATGCGAGTTTGCACAGTCCTGGTCGTCGTTCCTTTGCTCGGGCGGTTTAACGTTAATGCCCCCCGATTGAGAGGTTAGGACAAATGGCTTCGTAACTTGACTTACAAGCTTACATTATCTCATTATCTCAACCATACTCGCTTATGGACTTACGCAGTCTCGGTCAGTCTCTTGGGTCATTAAGCCCTTTGATAATTCTGATTTAGCACCGGTGTTGCGTCTATGCAAGCAGTTGCAATTTTCTCTTAAACGGTTATGACACTTCTACTTACCCCGTCCTCCTGAATTTCCTGTCCCATGCCATTAGACTCTTATCTCTTGTTACTACGTTGTGGGGTCTATGCCCATCTTTAACTTGATTTTTACCCTTCGAGTACGTTCAGAGTACTGGTTAGTATGGCCCGTCAATTTGCTGGGCTTTCTGGTCAGAAATGCCGCCTCCGCTTGGTAATCCACTTTGCCCAACTTGTACCAGTCTGTCCTTCATGCCCCTGACAACCGTCTCTTGGCCGATCGGCTAACTCGGCTCACTGGGAAAAAAGTGAGTTAAGACATGTCATCCAGTCCGGAGGAGACCGGCCTCTTGTAGGGCATGGCTTTGTGAATTTCAGTGCTAAATAAAGACTTATCTTTATTTTATCATGAATAGAAACAACAAATTAACTCAATTACTTGCATACTGCAAAGCAGTGAACATGCGAAAGATAATACAATATAACTAAGAGACCGTCCTGATGACGGTGACACAACAGTTTCGACAGTGAATCTTAGGTATGAGTACACTTCGAAGCAATGCTAATTTGTAAACTAGAAACGAAACCGCCCTATGTGGCTATAATTAGGACTCCCGGTGCTCTTTACTGCTATATAGCCTTGTCCTAAGAAGGCCTACTCATTTCGTTTATAAGTAGCATCGTGAATCGTAATGACAAAAACATGTTTGTCTTCATAATTAGTCATATTTCGGATCGGTAATGCGCAGCATGCACGCAAACACACACACATACACTCTCTAATAAATGTAGCATAGTCAATATGAAAAAGAAATAAGCAAATCATCCTCTCTATACATATTTTCGTTTTTTAGTTATGATAATGTCTACTGAACAAGAATGGTGTTAATTTGATACTTTTGCAAGAATGCGTCCTATCTCTGGTGATGCCTGTCGAATTCCGCGCGAGAGCAACCAACGAATCTCTTTATTATAAACATTCTTAAAAAATGAAAGTCTAACAAACAAAACTCCCTAAAATTAATTGATGAGTTAATATTCGACTGCCCCCGGCTGCATGGGATGCTGTACTTTCATTGTCCCACAGCATGTCCGCACACATGTTAACCTTCCTGTACGTATGCGGAATGCACCCACTTTAAATGCTACTTCAGCTCAGAAGCTTTCCTCATACGAGACTTCTACCCTTGAAGCTTAAATATTTTCTCTCAAGTTGTGAATATTTCAGAGATGTGAATTGACCCCGCAGAGTAATGTACTTTTTTAGCCAATTCTTAGGTCTTGCAATAAAATAATTTTATTTTTCTGGCGGGTGAGAAGAAACCTTGCATAACAAGCCAATTTAAAGTAGCATGTCAAGCCCGGCTAGCCTAGTTTGGTGGGTTTAAGGAAATATTTGGCACAGAAACACCCATCCTTTACAGGAAAAAGTCAGACCTGCATCAAAACGGCATTATTATCAACTCATCTCCAAACAAATTTCCTTTCTATCGTATAAAGGGCATTTAAAATCTGGCCAGGTTTTGTTGTTTTATGCATTTGTCTCATCCAACCGAATACTCTTTTTTGTTCAAGTTCCTCTGCTCCATCTGCTTTTCAGTGAGAACACTGATTAAATGTAGAAAATATAAGCTGAAGAAGGTATTCACTTGACTTTTCGATGATCTCTGAACGATCAACAGAAAATACAATTCGACTTGCAGAAATTCAGTTTAAGAAGTTTAGCTGCCCCACTTGATGCAAGATTAGTAATTAAATTTCCCCATAGTGAAATTTGTATGACATCATGATGCCACTGAACTTCATTTCGTCTTACCTCATAAAAACCTTTCTCATTCAGACTGAACGGCTGATTCGACGTCAAGGCTACCGACAACAAAGTGGAAAGAATGCTTTATTTATGCTGATCAAGGCTAGACAAGACTTTCATTGGAGATGAAAGTGAACTCATATGTCGGCTCGACACTGACTAATCATGGATGGCCGAAGATATTGCTATGACTGCGGTGATCTCAACCACCAATGAGGATGAAGAACTTGTAGGTAAATTTTCCCACAATTAATCAGCTTAAAGTAAATAGGGTGAGTACAGCTCGAGGAGGGTTTTCCACCTTAATTCGCGGCTTGGAGATGTTCCAGACTTTGGTGGCTCGGACTTGGATTTGGTGACAACACGCTCTCGAAGAGAGCTCAAATGTAGCTCATAGTAGATGGATTTCATGATAATATACATTTAGCCATAAGAGCGTCATCACTCGGGATTAATCTGCCAATTTGACGTTGCGGTTTACAAGTGAAACTTGATAAAATAACTAAAAATCTTCAAACTTTGGTTAACCGGACCGAAATTACACCTTTCTTGATTAGTTCCAACGTTTTCCTCGGCTCACTCGGAGCTTTTTCGCTTTGACGTTTCTCCAAGGTTGGAAAAACCTCTTTAACCTTGTTGTGGCACCTCCTTATCTGATAGACAAAAATTTGCATTTATTCATTGGATGTCGAGGGAAAATGACGCTAATTTGCAGCTGACCAACTGGGGAAGTTTGGCAAAGCGTATATCGTCAGAGCTATCCTTAGCCTTGTTATTTTACTTTCTTAACAAGCCTTTTTTGAGGCCAAAACGAAAGATAAAACTCGTTTGACAGGACTTAAGCCCTATTGAACAATCCCACTTTTCTACTTGAACCACAGCTATTAGAAACCGACCGCTGAATACATTTCGCTCTGATCAAATCATCAGAAAGATCAGGGTTCGAACTCCGGTCATGCTGGTAGATGTTTGATAAAATGTTAGTTTGCGCAGATGATAATGATGATGATGATGCTACTAGTAGTGGTGGTGATGGTTGGTTATGGTGAAAGAATAATGTCGAATTGACACATTGTCGCCTTTATGGAGTTTCCTAGTACTGATGAGATCCAAGGCGGGATCGACGCCAGAGATGTTTGTGAAGATGACACTGTGTTGTGGACAGAAAAATGGATGGAAATCAAGTCTCTTCCTTACGGTATCATGGCTAGCTGTTACCTAGCGACCTTTGTATCTATTCGGTCCATCACTTCAGCATGGGTATTAGATGCTTTCAAGTGTAAACTTGGCGGTTTCAGTAATTACGAGTCATCCGGCGGAGATCCGAGGGCTGCTAGCAACTGGGGTGGCTCCACGGACCGTCATCCAATCTCCCGGTTCGGACGACTCTGGTCCCGAGAAAAGCAGAATTTGGATACCGAACGAGCATCTTTCTGAATAGTTAAGTTTCGATTTCAGCCCAGACGACTTTGGCACATCACCTTCCAGACCCGATCTCGTAGTGCGAATATTTGGCACGAGAAAACATTCTTAAATAGTTCTTTTTTGTGAGGTTTTGAAAAGGAGTGGTTTTTCGCCCTGTCTTTTGAGTGAGGATGAACCGAATTGAGGAAAGCTATGCCTGAAATCGACAATCTTTCCATTTGTTTTTGATGAAGCTAATATCTGAATCCCTTTCTGTTCATGAGTATAGCTTATTTAATTGAATTTATTGACCAAAAGTATTAATGCTATTCCGAATGGGCAGGATACATAATGAAGAATGCATGCATTATGCAATTATATTAGGATTCGCATTTGAACTTTTCATATGTTTCTTTTAATTGTATTTACTTTTTGTGATTTTGGCAAAAGAAATCTTCAGCCCATCGCCTTCCAGCCCCGATATATGCTTGCACAACTTTGGAATATCCGGTCATGAAACGAGATTTCGTGAGAGTTTTTCAGTTATTTAATTAGTATTTAGTGGAATATTATTAAGGAAATAGTTTATTAACCTTAAGGAGGATGCGAATGCTGAAATACGCGTATTTGCAATTGTAAGATGATAACTTGTCTTTGATGCCTTAAGTGGATTGTTTTTTGTTTCCTTATACATTATTTTTTTCTGTTTTATGCAATTCTACACAATCTAATGGCCTTTAAGGATTTGCTATTTTTTCCATAATTTCTATCTATCAGATTTTTGCTTTATTTATTTTGTTTGTGAAACTTTTTTGTGCATCTTTGTCAAAGAACTTTTTCACACTGGTAGCTTATCTTGCATCACTCCAGAGAATTTCGGGGACCACCAGGTATCTAAATGACTGTAAAATCAGTGCTATGATGCTATGGCACCTTGATGCGATGCCCCAAGATCCAGCTTTTCATCCTTTCTGCGAGTGAGCCGGTTTCACAATCGCAAATTCATTTATGTAAAAGTTGACTGTGAATCTTAGAAGCATTTAAATTTAGGTCGTCGAGTAAACATTGGATGCCACCTATTTAAGCCAGCTGGAGTATTCTGTACCACATCAGAAAGACTACATCTCGACGAGCCATCCTCAAGAAAGCTCAGAGATGCAGCGCTGCGAACAAACCAAGCCCTAACAACGCATAGATTTCCGGCTCGATTGTTGTCGTCCTGTTGTCAGACGGCCTTGGCAATGTGGCTGTATTTCGAATACATGGGTCACATGAGAGATGCACAGAGCTAAATGAAGATTCCCCACGGTCGGAAGAGGAAGTCTTAAGGCGGAAAGTGCTGGCAGACTTTTAATGGGACACATTTTAGCGCCAGTCAGAATCAAGTTAAGCCGATCAAGCAGGAAAATAATTGTCTGCCTCATTTCTTGCCTGGTTACCAGGGCTATATTTTTTCGCTTTTCGCTTCGTTCTCTGGACATGCCCGTGAGTTCGCCAGCGCGCAACGTCCATCTCATCCTCAGCGGGGTTGGTAGAGTGCACCCATTAACCTTCAGGTAAGGCTAAGCCTCCTGAGGGAAGAGATCACAATTTTACCGTTTAATTCGATTAATATGGCATTTTCGAGGCATAAAAGAAGGCCAAATGGTATGAATAAAAAAGGGTAAACGATTATATTTAATGCAGCTATTCTTATTCTGTGGTAGACATCAAACTTAGCTAAATCTGCTATTTGGATGGAAGTGGATAAAATCGGCTTCCTCAGCCCTAAAGAAGCATACCATTAACTTTATTCGATCAGAAATAAAAATGTCTAAAGTAAAAGTCCCAAAGAAAATAGTAAAATCTAGCAATGCATTTCGCGAAGAAGTGCAATATAATCAAGTCAGGGACTTGCCTTGGTGAGCATATGACTGCTTTATATTTTTCGTTTTAAGTTTAATTTTGAGACTACCAGTAAATAAGAAATATGAGCTGCGTTCACCCTATTTCGTTTAAGATGATAAAGGGTTGGTAGTTTCGAGATTCTTGACAAAACAAAAATTAGGGACACTAGTTTTCTGTAGAGTTTTTCACACAATTACCCTAAAATGTTTTTTTTTCATCCTAAGTCGACTGAAATTTCAAAATTCACTGACATTCTCGGAATATTTTAGAATTATTTCGAATTTTTCAAAAGCAATCTACGCTGACCATGTCTGAAGCATTCCAACTGTAGGGCCAAATCTCAAAATGTTCTGTTGCCAGTCCTTCTGGTAACTGCAAAATTGGACAATGCTATGCTTAGTTTTCATTTATAAGTATGATTTCAATACTAATTGTAGGTCATATATATGAGATGTATTCATACTATTTCG